CGTTCCATCTGGAGTCGGCTCCGCGCGCTGATGTAAACAAAGGCATTTTGAAAGAAAAGCTTGGCGAAAAATAATAATGAAGTATTGGATCAATACGTACTTGAGTAATCCTTGATTGGAGTCGTGTTCACGACATATAAATTGAAAAATAAAGAATTTTTCTGTTGAAGGTAGAAATTGTGTCATTCTCTCATATTTGCTAAACAGTGGATTACCCTGTCAGATTGCCACTCATTCTCTTTGACTCATGACTTGGAAGAATGCAATTTATTGACAAAAGTATCCAAAACGGGGATAAGACGGTGTCGATGGATAGAACTTCCGACTCTGTCCGTGTGCTGTGAATGTCCAATATTTTTTTTGATTTGGAGGTTTTTGAGAACCGAAATTGAAAGGGTGTAACAGAAAAAATCCGCCAACCTATATTTCTTCGAAAATACGAAAGTCGAATTATTGAATTCGTCAATGCATTCCCTAGTGATTTTGATATGAGTCAGGCACCCGACCACTAGAAAAAGGGATAAAAATGTATATCTACATCTATCCGGTATCAATGCATGCCATCTAAGGTGAGCCCACCTCGTGCGTAATTCTACTTTGGCTTTCGTACTGGTCTTAAATTTGGGCTCTGATGTTGGCTTGTGATAGAAACCTTCATTATTACGTTCCACTTTTCAAGTTCTCACGACACTTTTGCATGAAAGGTCTTAACGTCGTGGTTCCTGCTTGAGAAGACAACTCAGCATTTATTGACCAATTTACTGATCAATTTCAAGAATACTAAACAAACGAAGTTGTAAAGAAATAAGATCGAAGAAAGTCTCGCTCGAGATAAGCTTTACAAATGAATGATGGCTTCTAGCTCGCTTGTGAACCAGGGCCTTGCACGAGTCCGTTTCTTTTTTTGAAAACGAAGTTTCCCTGATTTTCGCAAAATTTACGAAGTTCCCTTTGACACAAAAATCAGAATTCAAAATCGACTAAGAAGAACCTGTTTTTGCTTTTTCGGACCTACAGAACGATATTTCCTTTACATTTTTGCCCCAAAAACCAAGTCCAGCTGCTTCCAGACGATTTGTGCCGGGCCCTGTCCTGAATTTATAATTCGCCCGTAGTTCTTCTACGAAGGAAAATTTTGCTGTACTATGCCATAAATGAAGCACAATCTGCACTGCAAATTTCAAAACGCACACGCTGACAACTACTTCACTTTGTAGCCTATAACGTTTACGTTTTTCCAGAGGGTTTTGAGATAGAAATTTTTAGTAAACTCGTCCGTGATCGGTGTGTCACTAGAACCAAGGTATCCGCCGCAGTGCTATAACCACGAACGCCCGTAAAAGGGCTCGGACCTGGGAGGAGTTGCAGGTGCGCTCCATAGCCATTTCGATTAGAGCACCGTTTTTTCAACTGAAGCGCACTATCTCCAAACACTTCCACGCCGATCTGGGTAGTTTTTGAGTATACGTATAGTCTTTGACATCTTTGTGGGAATTTGACGGTAAAATGTGGACAAATCATGTCAGAGGATCAAAACTGCCAATTCTTTGTTACGATAAGACCCGCTTGCGTGCATTTCATGCGTAGAAAAAATTCTGTGAAACATCAAACCATTTTGCTGCTTAACTTTGAAGCACAAACCCACAAGCCCGCCAGAAATTTGAAATCCTTGGGAATGTTTTGCTTGAAATACATAAATTTCAAGCATGCTGGATTTTTTGTGCATATTCGACCGACCCTACATGCGTTTGGACTCTTGTCACATGTATTTCCACGATATACAATATCTATGTTCTCAATGGATCTCAATGATAAGTAAGATCTGCTCCAAGTTTCAAGGTTTCCAGATTTCCGGATTAGTATGAACGCAGCCTACGGCATGTGCCTAAGAACCCGTCCTACGAAAAACTACGAACTTGTCCCGAAGTGATGCTCAGTGAGAACATGGCAGCAGGCCAAGTTCTATGTTCAGCACATTGGTCAGCTCTCGCTCAAAAAATTCTCATTAATTTCAACTCCAGTAAGTAAAGTTTCATAGTTAACTTAGTATAGCACCAAGTTTCAAAATTTGTTTGTTTCTAGAGAATTCCTGAGGTTGACAGCTGGGCAAATTAATTTTGTACATTCAAAACTATTCACTAACTGCAAAAATCCCGGTTTTTCCATTTAGCAAAACGTTACAGTCTATAAAGGTCACCAGCATAAAGTTGCCATTTTCCACCCATTTCTTCTTCAATTTTCAATCTAGGCATCATCGACAAGCTTATCGAACAACATTAGCAATGATGATTTACGACTATGCAGCGCTTTTGAAGCTCATGAGAAAAGGCGACGATTGCTATCAAGCGCAAAATTGAAATATGACACATTCGATTTCTTTTTTTTATAGTCGTCCTCCCTCCACTAGACACTCAGTGGACGAATTTGTATTTGAGCAGGAGCAAACGGCTAGCGTCAGAGCGCGGCAGACGCCGCCCCGGTCAAAGTGTGCACATATGCTATTTCATTTCTCTTCGTGTTTCTTTGTTGTTACTCTTATTGCGGCAATGTATCACATCAGATTCGAGATTTTGTTACCGGTGATCATTGTTTCATGCTGTTATTGTCGTTTGCCATTTTTTTTTCAGGTAAAGCTGGGAATACGACGCGGTTGAAGATTTTTTGATGGGATGTCGCTTATCTGCACAAGCGTTGCTTTCGTGAATTGCGAATCAATTTCTCAGCTGAGTGTGCTCTTCAGTTTTTTTTTCATCCTGAATCTTTTTAAGAAGTATAGGTGAGTATTTTAAATGATGCATCCGACATATTTGTTCTGTATGGCAATATCCGCGCCATATGTATATCCTTAATTGCACGTAAGCATTGTTGTTCGTTTAGCGCTTCCCTTCTCTGTGAGCTCAGTTTTCATTGCGTCGTATCTCCAGCTTTACCTGAAAAAAGTTTAGGGCAAACGATAATAACAGCATGAAACAACGATCACCGGTAACAAAATCTCGAATCTGATATGATACATTGCCGCAATAAGGGTAACAACAATGAAACACGAAGAGAATTGGAAAAACAGCATATGCGCACACTTTGACAGTAGCGGCGTCTGCCGCGCTCTGACGCTAGCCGTTTGCTCATGTTCAAATTCAAATTCGTCCACTGAGTGTCTAGTGGGAGAAGGACGACTATAGCTCTCATCGCTTCAAAGACGTCGATCTAACAAGTTTTCCAGCAGATCTCAGGAAAGAATTTTATGTTTTCGAGATAAGTTATGTAATTACAAGACAGTTATAGGTCGTCTCAAGAAAAAAAAAAGACAAAGCAACACCGTAAAGGATGTTTTTGAAGGAGTAGGAAGGACTGAAACACAGCTGTTGCCAGGATTTGATTGGCCACATGCGAGCCGTAAAAAGAGTTCGCACACGAACACCAGTGCTAAATCCATCCCAATTTAGCGCTAGCAGCGTATTTTGGTTAGTTTTCCAGCAAAAGCCACCAGACTTAGCAAGTGGTAACCTCAGACAGATAGTAATCCAATGCACTTTATCTGGTTTTTTGAAGACTCGTATAGCCACTACACTGGAGTTTTAAGTTGGTGACAGCCGGAGAAATCGCGCCTCTTGATCGTCTCCCCTTTTTTCGTTGGACCAAAAGCGTTGTTGCATAACTCTAGTGAGTAGAGTAAAATAAGAACCAAAACAAAGGTCATATATAGAAGAACACAAAGCAAAAGTATTGTTGAGTGATGCATGAACGCCAAATCATGAGAACCATAGGGTATGATGATATGTCCTGACAGCTTGAGAAGAGGAAAAGTACATGCAAGCGGAATGAACCAAAACATTCTATTATTTTGCACATGGTCCCTCAGTCTTCCATCTCTTTGGAAAGTTTGTGAAACGCTAAGTGTTAGGAGATAGTGCGCCCCACTTGAAAAAACGGTGCTCTAATCGAAATGGCGATGGACGCACATGCAACCCCTCCCAGGTCCGAGCCCTTTTACGGGCGTTCCTATAACCACTGGGTTCTCCAACGATTTAGCGTCGTCAGCCTTGCTCCACTCGTCCAACTCCAAATGAGGCATTAAAAACGCTCATTTTCGCCGTTTCAAGCTCTCATAAGTGAATTTTCGGGATCAGCGTATTAAATAACCCGAGGTAAGCGCAAATTTGACTATACCGAGATTTGCCGAGCCACTCACTGCCTTCAATAGTGGAGTCAGCCGCGCCTGATTTGAGGGTCGTAAGGACCGTCGAATTGAGGATGAGTCGCACTCGAGATCCTAAGTCATCAAATATGCGATTGAACAAGGTGAAGAATACTCTCAGCAACAAAGCTTGCACCTTCTTCACGTTCAATTTCGTAATTACAAGGGAATGGTCAAATATCGAAGTGGCCAATGCAAACAAGCTGCCTACCATTAGATGCAGCATAAAACGCATACTTCAAATCTGCATTTCAACATCTACTTAGTGTCTACGCGGGCGAAGTTATGAACCGTTAAAAGCTTATTTTGCTGAGAAATCGTGCATGCAAAACGCAAATTTGGCAGTTCCATGTTCGGCTTGATGCTGGGTCAAAATAAGCACTTAGGTTACTCTATATTCATAGAGGTTAAAGGTAGGGTCAACATTGTGCTTATTTACGCAATTTTTATGTACGATTTTTTTCGCAATAAAACTGCTCATAACTTCGTCCACAAAGGCGTTAAACAGATGTGGAATACAGATCCGAAGTCAGCGTTGAATGCTGCATGGAATGGTAGGCAGCTTGCTTGGATTGGCCACTTCGATTTTTAACCATTCCCTTGTTAGTCACAAGATTCCTGTTCCTAGTGCAAAAGGGAGTGAACATATTCTTACATTCACTCCTTCCTGATCAGCCCAAGTAATTGTGAAGTCACAAAAAATTCTTAGTAGTTCAGTAACATATTTTATCTATTATATTTTATTTTTACTGTCGCCGTATATAATCTCAACTCTCGTTGCCTGTTATTGCACCGGAGCATTTGTTCATTTTTCTTCACGGTTTTATTTCTGACAAGTGAATCTACATTTTGCAGAAGGTATTTGAGAGAAACTGGCGAAAAACATAAGCTTGATGCGATTTGATCGACTAACTGAACGATTACATGGTCTAACGCATACAAGCAGCAGTGCATTCCTCGAGTGTTTCGAAGTTGTTAGGAGATGGATTGCATCCTCCGTATACAAATTTCTCGCACTGGCCTCTCGCTTTGTTGAAAGTGAATCTGAAACGTTCAGTTCAAATTTATTCAATTTTTCATATCTGCATAGCGCATTCTTACCTCTCAATATAAGCCATGCACTGTGGACCAGGCAAATGCGTGGGCGCGTTACATCTTTCCGCATTTGATGCTCCAGTGCAGACATCAATGGCGAGGCAAAGAAGAAGCAGCAAGGGCAGGGGTTTCATTCTGGGCAGAATTAATTGGAATCAAAAGTATAACTGTACTGCTCGGGTAGACGATCAAGAGGCGCGATCTTTCCAAAGATCAACAGTACAAAAGCCCAATTTAGACCTATGCGAGTCTTCAGAAATACCAGATTAAGTATTATAGCTTACTAACTATATGAAGTTACCGTTTGCTAAGATTGACGACTTTTAGTGAGAAATTGATCGGAATATTCACGAAATTGCCGTTAGTTGCATTTTCGCGGGTTTTTGACTTTCAACATTCATGTTTTGAATCCATTTCAAGATATGAGCTTGAATAGCCCTGGCAACGATCTTGCACATCTCCTTAGAAACTTGATAGTCCTTGGACACGTTATTAGACGCTAAAAATGCGCAAATTTGTCCATCTGGCACTAAATTTCGTATCTCTTGAGACACACACTACTCCTCACAGTAGAAATATTGGGAAAAATGGAATGGCAAAACCACGGGGCCACTTTCATCGTTGCTCGCATGGTGTCAGTTCGAGAGATAGTCAATTATTGTAGCACCTGCGAAATTTCAGCGAGTGGCATACGTTTGTCACACAACACTCCTAACTTCTTCATTCCAGCCATGTTGCGTTTATTTGAATAGTTATCTCGTCTTCAAGAATACCATCAGCGCGATGCGATGCTTCAGCTATTTGAAGAAGATGGCCTTAATCAGCGTGATTGCGACCTGGATCATCCTTGGCGTTTGATGTCTCAACTTCATGTCTTATTTTGTCTTTACTAACATCACCAAAAGGAGTCTGACATTACATTTCTACGTCGCTGATCTAGGTTTCAAACCTTCTGACCCATGCTTGCCTTAAAAGGTAATGCTGAACCAGGAAAAATCTTTGAGTGTGATTTGAGGATTACAAAGAAATTCACGTAGTCTCTCTACATGGAATAGAGCTTTGGAGACGCTTTAATCTACTCCTCAACTCAGTAAGAGAAGGCAGGAGTACGATAATCAAACATGTGGACTCGAAAGTTGTGGTTTGTCGCTTCTCACAGAAAGCTCAAATTTAGATCATGAAAGCTCTTTGCCTCCTATCGTTCTAATATTTGAACAGCACTGAAAACTTGAATGCTTTAAATTTATGAAGACAGTTTTCTTACGAAGACAGTTTTTTTGATACTAGGTGTATATCTCTAGACGCGTTTCAAGTGCTGATTTCAAAAATGCTTTCCTTTTTGCGGAACACCCCTCCGGAAGAAGTTATGGGCGTTTAAAAGTCCAAATTTGAGAACCCTTAAGTGGCAAAAATTAGCGGAAAGCTGTAAAGAACCATTTGTAAGTAAAAAGTAAGGAAGTAAAGATTTTTATCAAGTATATTGACTGCAAGAAAGTAACAAGGACAGTATCAGCATGGGTGTTTTGTAGAACTTTTCGCTATATGTTGCGTGAGGCTTGAGAAATTTCGACCTTCAAATGCTAATAACTCTATTCGGGGAGTTTTTTCGAAAGAAAGAGCAGATTTAGAATCAGCGTTTAAAGACACGTCTAATGATGTACATTTCGTTTTCAGTCGCCAACTTATGTTGGTAATCCTTTCCTTAGTCTACCACAAAGAAGCTTGGTGGGATTTGTTGCATGGGAGGGGCGTGGAGATGGACTGTACTGTATATGAAAAATGGACAATGATTGTCTCTGTTCTACCAAACTGGCGCCAAAAAATTCAGATTTTCCTTTCTTTGCTGCTCAAGAGAGACGAATAAATTTTACTTTGAAGCGTTCCACCACTACGGAATGAAGAGACTGCGAATAGACTCAGATAAGCTGAAAACTGGATGACTGCTGAAGGAATCCGCTCTAAAAATTCGCATCGAATCATTAAATTGGCACGGAAGATCTTCGCACCATCTTTAAAAATTCATAACTTCCTTCTTTTACGACTGATTCGCATGCTGTATTTTTTTAAAGAAATCAGGCGCCCTATATAATAGCATGCAGCTCGCTTCTCAATATCCGCATATCCCGTAGATAGGAGCGCTAAAAGAAAATCACTCAGATTTTGATGTTCCAGTGTAAAAAACTGTTACTTGTAGAAAGAAACCGGAGCAGTATTATGAGTTTCTTGCACTGCTTTCTATTGAGCAAAATCACATATCTTTATGAAAATTTATGACTGTCAATGTACAGTTAGCTCAGAAAATCACACATTTTTGCAGAGGCATTTAATCAGCAAGAATCCTTTGGTAGGCAGTGCAATAAACCTGTAATACTCATTGCCCCGGTTTTTATTGCGAGTTTCAGATTCTTTACGATCAAACACACGAAAACCAAAGCTTGAGTAATTTTCTCCTTCGGCTTCGACCTCCTGATCTTGCTTTTAACAAAACATGTTTTTTGGTGGACATCATGATTTCCTCTTCCAAATGAAAATAAACACGTGCAAGTTGATTGAGAAAGAAGGAAGTTATGAATTTTTGAAAATGGTGTGCGCGAACTTTCTTCCAACCTAATATTTTCTAAGAATTAATTTTGCTAATAATAAAAAAGACAAGTGCTACTGCTGATTCCTACCGCAGATAGCCAAATGCGCCAAAGACTAAAAGCTCTTGGAAGTTATGTAGGACTGTAGTGTAGATTTGAATGTTTTGAGGAAAAAGCTGTAATTTCTAATGTATTCCATTATAGAATACAGAGACAGGAAACATCGATTAAGCTAGCGATATGGAATGCAAAATAGCCAAAAGTCACCGGACAAAACACATGAATGGAAGTGAAACCATAGTCTCAGTTCTATTGTGTTTTTGTGATGGCAAATACTGCACTGTAACTGGTTCCTTGAGTATACGTATAGACAAACTAACACGGAATCGATTATTGTGAGGTTCAAGTAAATAGAGCAAAATCAAAAGCTGAAAGCTGATTCTTGTTGAGGTTTGTTTGAGTCAGAAACGATGAAAGCGACGAGCTTGAATTATAAGAATTTGATTGGTAATAATCGGGAACAGGAGAAATAATTTATTCATATAGATCCATATCAATAAACTTTGAGAGATTTTTCGTAAATTTTCGAGATAATTTCACGATCAGTAGGTTTGGGAGTAATTGCAATATTTACAACCGAATTCACAGCAGCAGTGGATAATTTATCTGAAAGGAAGTAATGAAAGTAGTATTTTGAGTCCGTCAATTCATAAGCACACTTGTATGAGCCCTGCTTTTTTTCCATATGCTTTCGAAGGTACTTAGTCACTCAAACGATTATAAGTCATCACAAAACGGGAAGGGCATTTGCACTACAAGACTCTTAAGTGAAAGCATTTGAATGCTAACCGATGTTCGAAAATTGAAATCCCATTGCTTCTAGCCCGTTCGGTACTCCAAAATCTTGCATAAAACCTCGGATCTCATCGCAAAGTTTACTCGCAATGTAGCTGCTGCTGGAGTTCTCCTGCAAACTCTCAAGGTGAAGAAAAGTATGACAAATCTATTTGAAGAAAAGATTATGTGTTTGGAGGATTGATTCTTTGGAGCTAGTAAGCCAGTGACGTTTAAGAGGAATAATACCGAGCTGCATAGAAATTGGAGTTTACTTGGTGCTTTTTCTTCACATTTGAAAGCTTTGAAATTTGGCAACCTAAAAAGCTCTAAGCCCTACAAATTCTCACAACCTGTTCTTTAGAAAGAAGGATAGTGTGAGCAATAATCCCGACCTCTAAAAATACGTAGGTCATCAGCTATGTAAGAGCTATGCCTTCAAAGAAAATAGCTTCTGATCTACAAAAAAAAATCCAAAACCAAACGAAGTTTACCAATATGTCAGCTCCCAACTGCTTCGCAGCATGTGCATGCCTCTCCGGACATGAGGATGCAAGAAACTCGAAATCGGCTACAGCAGTAGTTATCACAGAAAGACCATGAGGTATGAGAGGTTTGGTATCTGGGTAATCTTTGTCGAAGTAGAGCTTTCCTTGAGAACTTAAAAAGTAGATTATTTGGCTTATGTTAAAGGTGAGAGCATTATGTCGAATTTACCTGATCGGGTAGCTCAACCCATGGCACAAATGAACTCCAGCGTTACCGAATCCAACACCCGCAAAAGTACTGGCTAAGAGCATGTTTTGTCTAGCTTCCTCGTCTGAGCTGTCAGCAACACTGCGACGAAAGTATTTCCCGATAATCTGAATCACCTGATTGGTTCATGAGAAGACTAGCGATCACCTGATTGGTTCATGAGAAGACTAGCTTAGCTACCCTCAATGCTTCTATGTAAACTCCAGACGTCGCTGATTGGATTGGAACCTTGATAGAGTGGTCGAAGATCTGGACGAGATGGTCGCGGAACTCTCTAAGAATATATCGTTGGAGAAAAAAATTTCGGTTTGAGGCTCTTAGGAAATTTTTCGGAACCTTGTTGTAAGGAAGAGCTGTATAGCTTTCCAGTGCATGGCACAACACATCAAAACCGGAGTAAATGGCCACATTTCGAGGCATACTGTAATCGTATGAGTTAGATAAGAAAGCTGACGTTGAGCCAAACCTTTTGATGTTATCTGGATCAACTATGGCCAATATCGGTTTGATACATCGCTGTCGAATGCCCGATTTGCACTCGTGTTTAGGCAGATCCATTATGGCAGCACCTCAATAAAATGTAGGGAGAATTTTCGCACAATTACAGCCATGAACGTTTTATCTCAAGCATCATGATCTTCACGAAACTTTAATTCGTGGAACTTGTGGACAATCAGAAAATTCTAAGAATTTCACAATAATCTTTTGGGTAATGTCTAAAGTATGCCTGAAATACCGGTAGGCGTGATGATCAGCAGTTTCTACCGTAACGTCCTAGCTGTTCAAGAATAAAATTACTTATCATTACATTTCCCTACTTTATTATCATTATATTTGATATCTGATCATTATTTTTCCTTACCTCTTGAGCCTCAGAACCGCAGTGCCCCAAAAGACGTATAGCTTATGTAATATTCCCGTTAATTTAGCATACCTTACGTCAATTCACACACTTTTGGATAAGAGATTATCAATTTGTTGGTTAAAGCCACACAAATTTCGTAGTGAAACTTATTCACCTGTCGTTTCACTCCCGGTTCCAGCCGTAGTTGGAACAGCGATCAAAGGTAGCATAGGATTTTTCGGAACCAGATTCTGTCCGAATGGTGGACAAACATAATCGTAGAAATCCGCTTCTGGATTTGAGCAGTATAGAGCTGCAGCCTAGTCATGAAGGATTCAAAAAATCACATAGGTAGAAAAACAAGGACATAGAGCTGAATCTGTTGAGGTGAAGCTATATATTTAATATCAGCTTACCTTAGTAGTGTCGATAACAGATCCACCTCCTACAGCAACAAACGAATCACAACCGGCATTACGGGCATATGCTACTGCTTTCAGCATACCTGAAAACTTCATTTGATTTCATCCCATGACAACATTAGAGAATTTGTGACAACTTGAGATGCCTAACATTGACTGAGCTGTTTCTACGGCGCTATCTCACGCTGAATAAAAAGAGCTAACTTAAAAGACGTAGAAATCCTGGAATTGCATAAAAAAATTTTGACAACAAGGCTGGTATTTTTCTCTCTGAGGCATAGATCATAGCGCAGCAGAATGCTCGGTGGAATGGCTCACTACTGTGATAGTGATCAAAACTGGTAAACACTATTCAATAGCAATTAAAATCTTCTGAGACGAGAAGCGGCAATCGGCACAACTATTCAAGAAAAAATAACAAAATATTTCCTAGATGTGTTGTTGATTTTAAGATTGCGTGAGATCAATGGCTCAATTTTGAATGATCTTATTATCGCAAAGCAATAAGCCCTCAAAATCCAAATTAATTTAGGATGACAAAAATCATCATGATAATTAAACATTTTTTTGTGCTACAAAGGAGATGAGAAGTACATTTAATCGCAAAAAAAAAATATTTTTATTTGCACTCTGACTGAATCCTTGGTTGCGGCAACTAAGACAAATTATGGGAAAATTCCGTTTTACGTGATTTTTATCGAAAAAGCAAATTATTTGCTTCTGCTTACTGCTTAATAAGTCATAATCAATATTAGGTTGGTTAATAACAATTTTGGTCGCTTTTGCGGCTCCTACAGATGCTGCAGACAAATTTTTGTAAAGTAGGTGTTTCTGGAAAGAGCGCTTCAATGAGAATTTGGATGCAAAATCTGAGTGAAGTTGTTTTGCAACGAATGATCCGCAAAGGATCGAGAAAACCCAGTTTTCTCATTGTGCGCAAATGTAAGGAAATTCGATTTTTTCGGTCAAGGAATTTTGAAATGGCAGATACCAATTTTTAATGACATTCGTTGAGTAGGGAAAATTGCCTCTATCCAGATATCAACTTGTTCTCTACGTCCATAAGAGCATGAAAACGAAGCTCAATAGCCGCAGAATTGAGCTTCTGGAATTTTAGCCATGTTGGGACATAAATGTCCTTTACGAAGAAATGAAAATTCTGAATGGTTGATACGTGTTAAAAGAAGCTTTGACTACTTATATACAAAAAAGTCATGGTTAAAGAGCAACTAGGAGGGTTTTTATAAAGGTTTTCATGCAAAAACGATAGATGTAGTTTCTATAAATTCGTTCCATTTTCCTAACAACTTCTTTCAATGAGACTAGGTTAATTCACATCGATAAGTAAGGGTGCTATCTAATACTCACTTTCGTCCGTTGGCTCGATAAGTACGTCGTCATAAACTGTGAACTTCATTCCCAATGTTTGCAAAGACCGCGAGACGCTTCTAAATTTTTTTTGCAGAAGCTCATTTTATTGATTTTATCACAACTTACTCGAATGCTTTTGTGTTTACCACATTTTTATCCGTAACAATTAGTGTATGCTTTGAACCGAGCTGTCTCACATCATAGCCCACTTCGGCGGTGACACCTTTTCCGAACCGAATTGTTGAGCAGATCATCTCAAATGCATAGTCCGTGGAGGGGACTGCAATTTTACAAATCATCATATGGTGAGGTATCAAACGCATTGAGGTTGCTCTCATCGAAAGGATTATCAAACAGAAATATGAGATTTGAAGATTGAGACGATTGCAACAGTAAATATCTTTGGATAATCTCGAATAATTCCAGAAAAAACGTATTTCCTGTTTTTTTTTAATTTATTTATTTGCCAACGCCTTTTTGAGCACATAATATTTAGAATTTAGAGGAAAGGTGGACGATGAGTTATCACTAAGAAATCAGGTTGGCTAAACGATTTTACACTGAAGTAAATTGCATAAACATTTCAGCAGTTCAAAGCGAGGGCCTTCCTGCTTCGTTCGACAATGGTGGCCAGATGATAAAGACAATGCCTCCCTTCCCCTCCCAAATATGGCCATGAAAATTGCCCTAAAAGTAGCTTACATGATGTAAAATTGTACAAGTGACTCACTTGTGAAAGACTGATTTATCAAAACTATTTCTTTCCTTCAAAAAAAATTTTCTGGTCACTAGTTAGGCTGAGCCACAGGCTTTCCTGGACAAAATTCTAATTTCGTAAAACTCTCTTCAAAATCAATGGCGATTTTTTGTAAAATCCGAGTTTTTGATTTTCGGGTGAAATTGTTACCCAACGGTCGATAAACAAATTTTGCGACCTACGAAGTGATCCTTCTTACCTTTTTGTTTATCTTATCTATCTTTTTTCACATTCTTACATTTACACAACTCGTACCTCCTCCACTGAATTTTGCCACAGCTATGGGACTCGGGTCATGGCAATGATGTGGACAAGTACCGCCCATGACCTGAGATATTCTCTCCACAAAACCTCGCATTACTTTTGCGGACATCTGAAAAGGCGATTTGAGATACATGTAAGTCAGTAGAAGAATGAGTCGCGAAATTCTCGAATTTATTTACATGAATTACAAAAATGTGCAAAGTGATGTTCGTACTTGTAGAAAATTAGAATGATTTCTGGAAAATTTTAGAATTCAAAATTAGCTTTGTAAAAAGGTTTTCGGAGACCTGGCTCCCTCCTGCCTTTTCCCAAATTTGGGGTAGTGGACCACAAAAATTTTGGAAAGCATCCAAAACAATTTTCGAACTGCGTGGCTTACTCCACGCATCGCCATTCAACAGCCTAAAAGCTTCCGGAGCATTATAAGGCTTGAATTTCCAAAAATTTCTGATCATCTTAACCATCAGCTTGAAGTGCTTCTCTTTTTGTTAATGATTTAGGAAAAATGGAAATCGATTTTCACTTCGTAGTTTTAAAGAAAAATTCGGATTTCATCCCACCGTAATCCCAAATCTACAAACTTTCCAAGTCAGCTTCACATGAATTTCTATGATAGATTTGCAAAATTGCATATTTATGACCGCTCTTAAGTAGCCGAGTAAAATCAGGCATAATTAGAAGAATTTTGAGAACAACCTCAAGACTTTTCGTCAGAGTAGTCACGGTCATTGGAATAACTTATAAAGTGATCACTTTTTGGAGATAATCCTTGTGGTATCGTATTGAAGAAAAAAGATTGCTTGGGTCTAATCAATGGCAGACAACTGGGCGACGACCGAGTGACCTTTGTTGTATCGGCAGGGCTTACTATGCTCTTTGGTCGGATGGCCGACAGGAAATCATGATCATATTTTTCGTTTTTTAACATCCTCGTAGTTACATTTTTCCTGGCCTACAATCTACCAAGTCTGTCAAATGAACAGATCTGTGGACGAGCAAACAGACCACCTCGTCATATCATCACACCTTTTCGAAAATCTGAGCAAGGATTTCCGCTAATATTGCAGCTGATTGTGTAACTCTACGCTACTCAATCTTATCAATAGACTTTTCTAAACTATCAAAAATTAATAAGCGACAGCGAAGGCCATGATATAAATAATACCATTTATTTCACGAGTCAACGATAAACAGTAACAATCAACAAACAACAAATATTCGTAAAGACTAGAACAATGGTTAATCTCAATCATTCTCTTCGATAACTTTATCCTCATCGCTGTCTTGAGGTTCTGTCTGAAATAGTAAAATGATGTAGCACTCAAGTTCAATTGAATATGACTATAGAAAAGTTAAGATTAATGAGATATGAAAAAGTGATCGATCTATTCACCTTACTGACACCTTCTTCGCCGTCTTTATAGACTTTGAAGGTGGAACCTTGTAACCGCCTCTCCGTTTCTCTACGTTCTTTGGCGCTCATTTTCTTTGACATTTCCTCAATGAGTACCCGCTGCCGTTCCGCAACCGCATTGAACAACTGAACTACTCCCCTAGAACAAATAAAAATATTGAAGAGATTGCTGTGATCTGCTTGTCTATAATCCACCGTGGCTGTGTTAGAATACCAATCAAAGAAGTCTTATATATAAAGCTGAATGTCTGTTTGTACGTCTGTCTGTATGTATGTACGTATGTTCCGAATAGAAAATTCCATTTCTGAACCGATCGGGACCAAACTTGGCACACATACACTTTGGGCCCCGGCGGGTGTCATAGGCTACTCACCCCTCTGCCAAATTCCAGCCCCCTAGCTCAAATTTTGCAAAAAAATCGATAAAATCGACATCGATCGATAACGAAAAGTGGACTGTGACACCCGCCGGGGCTCGAAGTGTATGTGTGCCAAGTTTGGTCCGGATCGGTTGAGAAATGGAATTTTCTATTCGGAACATACGGCGGAGCCGGGTAAGCCAGCTAGTATGAAATAACATGGGAAGTCACATATAGCAGTCAAGTAAAATACAGCTGTTGCTCTGAAACGTCGGTCAAGAAGGCTTGTTCCACATAGATGGGTCACTTGGTGGAGATGGGATCCCGTCAACAGTGCATGCCTAGCAGTGTTCAAGCAAATGGGTTACTCTTGGAAATTGATTAAAAGGCTTTAGCTAAGTCATCGCTCAATGGCACCCCTTACGACCCATTCATGGCCATAATACTAATGCCAAGACCTCGCCCACACTACTCGTTGCAGCGGATAGCGACAATCATCCGGGTAGGTACTGGAAGGACGTTTGAAATCGTGTCTCTCAGCCACGAATGGATACCATGAGATGACTATAGATACCATGGATACTACCGCCGCTTGTACCACTATTTGGTCAAAGCAATATTCAAAGAAGATCTTCAGGTAGCCAGATTACTGCCTTTGACAATGAAACAGGAAAGTCGAGAATGCAACAAAATCGAGAATAAAAGAGCCAAATTTTTCCGAAAAAATGTTCCTTGAGTGCAAAAAAAAATCGATCTTAAACGCCAACACTTATAACTGTGCCAGAATTAGAATACTAGACTGCGTATTAGTTAAGAAATCTAATACAGTGACAACAGCAAAGACAGTCTAGCACTTACTTTGTCGCTATTCTCTTCAGCAGTCGCTCTTTTTCTCTGTTAGTAGTAACATCAGGCTTGACTAGGCCGAACAACTTCTTGTCGTGCGCTAATTTACGCTTCTCGCTTAGCTGTGCTCTTGAAAGCTTCTTTTGTCTTTGGAGGCGTTTCAACCTTTGCTGCAATGAAAATCATTCATACCAGCGACTACCTCTTCGCGATCGAAGGATAACCCACCAGTTTCTTAGATTCTGACGGGAACGTCACCACATCTGACGTTGTTGGTTCGCCTCTGACGACCGATGGTTCATCTTCACCAGAATCTATGAACAAGAAATAAGTGGGTAATGTAAAAGTACATGCAGTGCTTCTCCACATTTTCCATATCAAGGCAGTACTTTATAAAACTGATAAAGAAAGGACTGTAACGCAACGGATTCGTTTGACGGTAACTTAATTATATTTATGGGATATATGATTCCCTTCAAACTATAAGTTGTTTTCTAGCCCACCCAATCAAAAGTCTATGCAACAAAGCAAAACTGATTACGTTTTTCACTGAAGCACTAAAAATGGAATTTTATTACATGCAAAATATCAGAAAGATGGTATCTGCATGAGCTATTCATCATTGAAAGGAAAAGAAAAGAAGGAATGAATAAAAAAACAACCATGCGTTTTCTTCACACAGAAGGAGATGCCTCATAGTCGGTAACGACGACTGAGTGTTGACTTCTGCTTTGCTGATTTACTGCATTTCAACTCCGAACGATATGGTAAGTACTTGTTTCCAAGCCCCAGCCTCTCGTGATTCAAACATAGTTCAAACGAGAAAGAAGAAAGATGCAGTTAGATCTATCGTGCATCCCCTTAAATTGTTCCCGCATGAACAATCAACGTGGCTGCCTTTCGATCGTTTTGACACATTGACTACAGCAAATTCAATGCGCTTATTGGAAGTTAACATGTTAAAATGATTGAAAGACAGCCGCGTTGAGGTTCATATGGGAACCGTTTGTGGGATGCGTCATACATGCTGATCACAAAAAAAAAGCATGACTATACGATTACTATCATCGGCCTCCAGATTCGTGTGGAGGTGGAGTCATGCCAACTCACAGCGTTGCGGTTTTTGCTAAGAGAGTATGAAAAGCAATGCTATAACGTGGAGATTCAACAAGTTTTTTCTGTGTTATCAGGCAAATCTGCGATACACCTTCACACGAATCTGGGAGTCGATCATATAAACAAATTCAAGAAAGCATTATATTTTATTTACCTTCGTATTCCTTTTCACCTTCGTCTGAATCCTCGTAGACTTCGAGCACGTCTCCTGTCGTCCTTTTCATGAAAAAAATCTGGAACAAATCTGTCGATTATAGTTGTTTTCAGTAGCAATGATCCAAAATTGCATAATGAAGGCTTCAAAGAGCGCATATATCCTACACGGAGATAATGTTTTAGGAGAGACATAATACGATATTACTGTTTTTTTACAGAGACTATAGGTATTATGAGAAAAAGTGGGGTAGTCTGCTTCAAAACCCGGATGAAGACGGCAAAGACGGACATAGTGTGCAATAACACATACGACATGTAAGTTGTCGACTGCATTCTGCCTCATGTGAAATTACACAATTGCCACCGAATCTTCTCGACTATAGGTAGGTGCCAGAGTAAGCGAATATTTTGTTCAAGTTGGGGTCCCCCGCAGAACTGGCGTTAATCATTGTGGCACAACGCCAAGTTGGCATTATGCCACAATGATTAGTGATGCCAGTTCTGCGCGGGACCCCAACTTGAACAAAATATTCGCTTACTCTGGCACCTACCATAACAGTTCTCTGCTTCTTGCAATTTGATGAGGTAGGGTGCGATGAAGGCTGAAGCCTGATCCTAATGCCATAAAATATTCTGGGAAGTTCACTAATGTCTTCTACAGGCTGTAGCCGATGCAGCACAATACACTTCCACTATTGTTTCATCCTTTTCTCAACTGCAATGTAGACCCCTCTCACGCAATTTGCAGCGAAAGATTGAATCAACTGATGTGACAAATGCGAGTGTTACGTGCAGACGTGAAACTGCGCAGTTTATGTGTGTACGGCAGCTGATCAGCTGCACGCGCACTAACTCGTCCTTCTCGCGAATAGGCCCTACACAACTGTTATCGATAGCAAGCGTCCATTATCACTATAATCGGCGTTCGCTGTGAAAAAATGCTTACAGCCAGCTGATCCACTCAAGCCTATGATTATTGATGAGCAGTTGAGGTGGTTGTGCGCTGCTATCGATGTCTCGTGATGCTTATTGTTCACTGCACTTCTACACAGAAGTGTTGGTGCCTATCATCTCTTTACATCCACCGTAGCGATTTCCCTTCCTTTGAATGCTGCGTTGATGCTATGAAACAATTTAATCCACTTGTATAAATATCTTTTGAACAGCTCCTGCTTAAAAAAAGAAATGCGGGAAAGTTGCCGTTGGCCTGGGGTAAATGACGAAGTTGGGCAAACAATAAATGTAGTCATCTGATTGTCGACATCCCTGTTGACATTAACCAATGCCGCTAGAAAGGTCATTATAGTAGTGCTCTTGCGTAACCGACAATATTCGCGCGTAAGTGGCCATATGCACACATTCGCACATAGCATTCGCGCACAGATGTTGTCGTCACCGCAAGGACACCATCTCAGCACAAAATTCCCCATACAAGTTATGATTCATCAGGCTTTTCATAGGTAAGACTCTCGGACGCCTTCATGCACATGAAGACCCTTCCGTGATTGTAAAGTAGGGATTAGAGGGAGGAAGATTTTACCATCCTGCCTTGTCTAGTAGCCCACTTTCTGCCCAAAAGGGTTCCCAAAGTTGATCTGAATCGATTTTGGCCTTTTCCTTTTGAAGTATATGGAATACTGAGAAGTAGGATGGACAAAATTGCACCGAACGAAAGATCAGAGTCGTAACGCAGGAACAAGATTGCAAAAAGAACTTTAGGATATTTTCGGTAACTTTATCACGTCGGATTTTCACTAACTGACTGTAGTAGAAAAACAAATTGTGAAAACAGTCTTCTTGTTTATGGTATTTCTGGCGATGATCACTATGACTCATTATCTTTCCTTTGGAATGACAGCTTTATGGACGTTTTTATTGCAAACTACGAGAACAGCAACTTGGCGTTTTTTTTCTACAGTTTCTGGTCACATCGTTCATTCATATCGATCGTTTTTGGGAGCAGTGAACCTAGAGGTTGTTTACGCCATGTTTTCCGTCCTTTTTATTGTGGACACTTACCCCGTCCAATCTCTAACACGCTCACAAGCAAGGGTCATCCTCGACTACGAAATCTGAAACTTCCTTTATCGGAACACTCCTTTCGAAAGTAGGATCGCAAAAATAACATTGTGAAGAGAGTAGAAAAAGCTTGTTTTCTTCCACTTAATCGAACGCGGCGCTCGGACGAGTTCGATCACTTGCGATCGGGTGAGCGCACTTTGCTCTGTGTGTCTAGTTTTCCTCGTCGTCCGTAACACGTTCCACCTTCTTCGATAGCAGCCTGTTTCTCGAGAGATCGCTTTGTTTTCCTTTGCAATTTCTCAGCTTTTCCTAATGATTTACTCCACAAGCCACGTATATCTGGTTTTTGCAGTTAATTCTGTTTACATTATTGCAGATCATGGTTTCCTCACGTACTGTCAAGGAGCTTGGAGTGTTTACCGGTTTGATTGTAGGTCAGTGGCTTTACCATTTTGCAGCTGCTTAGTTCTTTTGGAAAGTGTCTGTTGTTATATTGCCCCTTGTGCTCCAAGTGGTTACGGTAGATGTACGGTCAGCCGCTGAATACCGTATAATCGTCTGAGGACCAGTGTAGGATGCTTGCTGGGTGTGCTGACGAATCCCGTGTGCAGAGCCTCTGTGAGAGATCCGTCATACTTCGCCGAGAAAAACCCGAAGAAGCACAAGAGAACCCGAAAGAAGCGAAACGCTCCTTCCGTTTTGACGCTAAGTGTGCATTGATTTCGACCGAGTCTTTTTGCTTCATTTTCTGTCGTCTGCACATCAAAATAATGTCAGAATTCTATCAAAAGTTCGCTCTTGCGTTCCGGCTCTTTCGGGCTTTTTCCGGCTTTTTTTGGACTTTTTTCGGACGCTCTTGGGCTTTTCACGGCGAAGTATGGCGGTCTCTACTCTTCCGACCTCTTTACCGAATGTCCTCTCCTACAATAGGCGTAATTCAACATTGAATGTGATCATGGTCAGCATGTCAAAGTTCCGTGCATTCGGAATCGCGCACAAAGTCCGATGAAGGCCCGTACTACTAGATACGGGTTTGGATGAAGAGTGGGCGCGTTTGAATTTGCTGTACAGTTTGTGTAAATCCCGCATCCCAGAACTACGCAGATCGATGCGGGATGCTCACACGCTGCGGATGCATAGTTGCTGCGGATAAGTGAGCACGTGGTTGACGCAGATTGTATTTGAAAGCATGCTTTAGAGCTCATAAAATGCAGGTTTTTGTTGACCACGTGAACGTTGAAGGAAAAATTCCTCTTCTTCTCACCTAGTATTGCTTTGAAATCACCACGCCATTCCAGCAGTCCCCGCATAGATATCTTGAACGGAGTTTTAGTCTGACACGTTCAGTACCTAAAACTATGGAGAATATCAGTTCGTAAACTTGTACCTTGCCTGTTTTGTTTACTTCATTGTGAGGTCATTCTCAGTTTTTGTCATAGCTATTCATATCCAATATGCATCATTGACGCAGTTAGCGCTGTAGCGTCATTGTATGGGGGACGCGAAGTAATGGTTGGTAAACATTTGAACTTAAGCAAACAACAGCATTTATCGGATGTCATTACTGCGCTTATGCCGTAAAGTCATGATCCTCACTGTGGTGTTTCTTGAACAGTCTGGGTTTTTTGTTCTTGATGAAAGCACCGTGGCGCTGCGTGCAAAGCAGATGTGACTTCTATTGATTGCAACGAAATTGAATTCGTACAAACGTTTCTCTTGAATTCGAATTAGCTGTGTGAACACATTATCAAAGAATGTAAACTGTTGCCCTTGTTGGAACAGTGCAATTTCTTACCATTGGACTGATCGAATATCAATATAGAGAGCTGATTCTGGGGCTGTATAACTTTGTAGGGCACAGCTTTTCTTTTTCTTTTCAAAACAAGATGTAATAATGTGCCTTGAAAGAATGCACCAGTATTCAACCTCGCTTATCACTGAATAGCATCATGGCCTGTCAAAACAAAACACTTTTCGAAGTCGTTGGCTCTGCATTTTTGTGTAGTTAATGTGAACTGGATCGTCAAACCCTTCATAATTTTACACACAAAAGGAGTTTCTCGTCCATTGTCCTTTTTGCGTACTATAATTTCCATATTTCAGCTGCACACTATGCTTATTGGAAAATTCAAATGAACCCCTCTCTAGTCGCTCCTGAGCAAAGATCGGAACTTTTTTACGTGAGTTCACTACACTTTTTTCACTTTTCATGTCGCTTTCGTTTGCAGCACCGATATGACAGCTACGTGCTCGCTATCATTTTTGCGTTGTTAAGTCATTTATCATTAGGACACAAACCTTGAGAGAGATTATTGAGCGAAATTTGAACCTTTTTAAATTTTACAGTTTACAAAGCAAAACTTAATGAAGCTATCTTTCAACTCCTTGTTCTGTAGAAGGTTACTATGAATGAGTCACCCATCGTCTGGCCAGATAAGTTGAAACATATACATCCAGGATCGGTTCCACGCAAAGGTTTGAATTTGCTCATTGTATTGTTAGCTGCACTTCATGGAACTTGATAACACTTTTGTCTTTGTTCCCGAACTCCCGGCATAGTCAGAGCCTCTCCTTGACAGAAATATTTTGCAAAGGAACATTTAAGATGGGGTTAACCCTGGGACCTAATGCTTTTTCTCTTCTTGTGACTTCCTCCATTGTTTAGGGATAATTAAGTTTGTAGAAGTTCAATTGATAATATTTGTTTTGATACTTGGGAGACCTGCACGCATTTTGGAAAGATGCATAGGCTGCTGCATGACGAAGGCGCAATACCTTCGGGCGTGAACGCGGCTTTATTAGCCGCAGAGCGCATGAGGTGGGGATCTACAACGGTGAGGATACGCGCGCGTCGCGTTCGTGTCCGCTCAACTAATATCGCCATTGCGCCTTCGTCATGCAGCAGCGTATACGACGCACTAGCAAGCGAATTAAGCCTGCATCAAGTCCTTGCTTGAGTGGCTCAAAAGTTGGTATTTTCTCTCGTTATTTTCTGAAGTATGGTAAAGCGCTGTATATTCTCTAATTTTGCATCTAGAGTTGTGTATTGCTTGCATAATTTTGACATCTGTATTTTTAGATAAGGTGGCTCAAGGACAAGTATCCATCGCTCCGCAAATATGGTGTACAGGATTATAAGCCCGAAGAGCCTTCAGTTGCCAAGGAAAAGTGAAGAACATGCTCTCTTCTCCATAAATTTCATAGCCTGATGTGTATCGGTTCAGAAACGTAGGCATAGCCGGTAAAAATCACTAGAATTACTGGTAGAGTTCTTTCATAGTCTTGCATTGCTGGTATTATCTCGACGGTGGTTGCAATAGTTCACATGTATTCCTAATTTCTTCTTCACCGCTGCCATAGTTGTAGCACAAATTATTGTTATTTTGTAACGTTGTTCAATAAAGTTATTGTATCAGTCTGCAGTGTATCAGCTTTGGTTGCTCTCCTTTAATATGTAACAAGAGGTCGTGCGATCTCCTCGCTTAAATTTGTGTTTGAGATGACTACAATCCGCCCTTTCGACGTTATGGATATGCTAAAATTCAACAACGTTAATTTGGACAGCATGACGGAAACGGTAAATCAGCATTGATCACTAAGTCTTCAAAACTTTTCATTCAAGAAGGTTGGGTGCTGCAAGGTGATTTGATTTGTGCGAATTGGTCATGCAAGCAGTGCCTATGAGTAAAAGTAGGGAAATAACAAATAACAAGTATTCATCCCTACGCCTGCGCGCTAGGTTGTTTACAACAGCTACAACTGTGGACATTCATTGGTGGCTAGTCGTCTATATCCGCATTTGTAGCACCAGAAAATGTTATTGATAAGGAAAGTCAGCTTTTTTGTAGCCGGATTCTCTTATTTTGTTTTCTGGCGCATCGCACTTGATGTTTGGAGAGAAGCTTAAAAGTGGGATGTGTGTTCAGATGAGACTGGGTATCGTCGACTCACAGGAATAGCGAGCGAATTCTCCCACAAAACTCGGTTTTGAGCAACCCCATTAGCTCATGGTTCTGGTAGATCATCGGTTTATCGAATCTATCAGCGGCGCATCGATTACGCTCGCTATAAAGTCTCCATAAGGGACTCGTCATACTTCGCCGGAAAAGCCCAAAAAAGCCGAAACGCTCCTTCCGTTTTGACGCTAACCGAGTCTCTCTGCTTCATTTTCTGTCGGCACATCAAAATAATGTCAGAATTCTAACAAAATTTAGTTCCTGCGTTCTGGCTCTTTCGGGCTTCTCCGGCTTTTCTTTGGGCTTTTTCGATGAAGTATGACGGATCCCTAAGATCACACAGTTGTGTAGGACTTACTTTGAACGTTTGGAGTTTGGATATTGGAATAGGGCCGCTATTTGCACCATCAAACGTGCGTTGTTTGTTGCATGACATCACTTTCATGTGATGAAGTTCGCGCGAGGGCCCCTTGACAAAGATGTCGTCCCCTTCAAAGTGCAAAATTATTCTGACGAGATTCTGAAAATTATTATAATTACATTCTATTAAGCTTTGGGTATAATTTCCATAAGCTATTTCAGTATGGATTTAATTTCTATCTTTACTACCTTGTCAACTGGCCCGAATACTATCAAGTAGCGGAGCACCCCAACGGACAAATTATGGGATACAGTGAGTGAGCTTCCAATTTCTCCAAAATGCTTGAAAAAGAAATTTCAGTAATGGGAAAAGCTGAAGGAAGGGACGAAAATTGGCATGGCCATGTGACAGCTCTTTCGGTCGCGCCGGATTATCGCCGTCTAGGACTTGGTGCCCGAATGATGCACACATTGGAACACATATCAGACATGTAAGACTTTTTTAGCGATATAAGATAGATGGGCACTGGTCGGTATGATTCGTTTAGTCAATATAATTTACATTGTTTTTTTTAGGAAGAAAGCTTACTTCGTTGATTTGTTCGTCCGAGTTTCAAATCACGTCGCCATATCGATGTACAAGGCGTTAGGATACGTGGTATACAGAGAAATCATAGATTACTATTCTGGACCGCATGATGAGAATGCTTATGGTGGGTTTATCATCTTGCTGTTTTAAAGTACTGACGGTTTTTTTCTTTTTTTCATATCATTTAATCTTACACTTCACCTGCTTGTCCTTATTTCTATTAGTTTCATTAGCCACTATTCACTCTTTCCATTCGGTTTCCTTTTAGATAACTATCACAGTCCCAACATTGCACACATTATTGATTAGCACCATTGGTTAATAGCTCAAAAATGCTGCAGTTGGAATTGCCGATAATTAGCTTTACGAAGACCGTTTTCATGGGCAGTCCGAATTCCAGACATGCGCAAAGCGATGTCTATGGACAAAGAGAAGAAAAGTATGGTGCCATTACCTCACCCAGTGCATTCGAACGACATATGACCTATGGAGATACTGCACTCCAACAGGCAGTTCATTGTAGATGTTGTGGGTTTTATTAACCTAATTGTTAATCGATTGAGCGTACTCGGGTGTCGCTTCGTGACTGATCTTGTAGTCGTCGTTATATGTGCATACTTGTTAGCTAATCTTTTGATTATATAAGCGCAATAAATGTTCGTTATTTTCGTGAGAGCCATTGGGAGCAGGTACCTAGACCTATCAGTTTTCCACTTGTTCTTTTGGCATTTTGAATGATCCCTCATGTATAGTGACAAATGACTGCCAAAGAGACGGATTCGCAAAAAAAGTTCTCCATTTTTACTGGTATCCAGTATGGTACCACTGCAGTGGCAGCTCTACTCCTAATGCGCACTCAAAACAAGTTTCTTACTCATGCTCAGCGAGGGAAGACTATTGTAGGGGCTGCAGGTGATCTTATTTTTGGCCAATTCATAAAGGTATATATCACCTTTCTTTAGGTTGCATATATTTGTCGGTCGCAATCGAATTTGGTCTATTTCCTTTCAATTTCTTTGTAAAAGAAAGAGTGCAATCCAGCAGTAAGACATAAACATTAGGTAACGTATAAATACTTTGTGAACTCAAGCGTAGTGAATATGTGGTCTCTCCACGTACCTACTTCATTTTGTTCAGTAGTAAAATATTCTTCAATTTTTTTCATTGTGTTTTAGATGACAGATACATCAGAATTATCAAAGAAAGTCCTCCAAAAAGACTGCTTTGAATGTCGCGTAACTGGATCATTGAGTTGTGCTGCGATTGGAGTTTTTGTATTCTATCAGTCGAGTTCTGCCTACTATTTGAAGCGGCCTTACGTGCAACTAGCTGTTCGTGGAATAGGAGCTGGTTAGTCAGCGGAGCTTGACGCATGTTCTTCTGGAGTGTTACAACATGACTGCGTGTATGTTCAGCCTTTCTGTACGGAGGATTAGCACGCTGGTTCTATTTTCCACCGTTCCATTCGCTCAAAGGAACCTATAAGAAAATTGATGTATAGCCTCCCCTTTTTTGTGCAATAAAAATGCGACAATTGACATTCTGGTTTTTTTGTTTGAAATTGCTCACTTTACCCCCACTCTAATTTGCTTGTTCATAGATAGATCGTTAGAATAGTTAAAGTTTTTTTTAGTGCGCATCTGTTATTGTTCAGTAATTATTTTTCCTTGCAATATCAAATTATTACCTACCAGTAAACTATGTGAATGGTCTTGAATGACATCCAAGTGTATTTCCATATCTTTGGTTTATACTCCTTCATTATATCTTGTTAAAATTTGCTCGCTCGTGCTTTGATAGTGCCAACTGCTGCACTCGTGTTGTTGTTGGTTGTCTACCGTTGATGTATTACTTCCTACGATTCTTGCTCTCTGAACTGTTAGCTTTTTTCTGTTTTTTCTACTGACCTGTTCTGCTCAGCATTGCTGTGCTGTCTTTTTCATAGTATGTTCACTCTATGTTGAAAAAATCCCTTGCACGCAAAATGAAGCTCGAAACTTATGAAGAGGAAATCAATATCTTGCTAAAGATGAATTATTTGATCGCGACATTGATAATAGCAATCTCCAAAACGGTGAGACTGATGTGTTCTATCACACTCTTCGGTCGGAAGTTTTTGTTATCATTGCTGTCATATTAAGACGATTTAAAGTTACATCACATTGGCGATAAGCTCTCCGAAACGGGCCATGAAGCTTTGAAAAGTTACGCATGTTCCTCTGTGATAACTTAAAATTCATAGGCAGTTTGAGAAACTGTTGAGCATTTTTCCAAGAGGCACGAAGACAATATCAAAGCCGTCCGTTCTTTGTATACACAAACAAGTCAAACTAGATTTGGACCGCATTCGAATTTGCGCTGAACACACGACTTTCAGAATCGTCACATTGCCAAGATATTAGGTTGTCTCGGGAGCTTTATCGGGGTTGTTTTTGATCGATCACCAAAGTCACAGATTGGTGATCGGTGGACTTGTATGTCGTTCCACTCAGATTCTTGTCCTCTTTCTGATAGCTACATTTTCGTTCCGATCTACGAAGCTGATATTATCGCTATAGCTCTTGGGTAATTCGACAGTGACGCAAACTTCCCTAATATTCAGTATTTCTTGTCTTAATATATTCAGGAAGGTTTGGTAGCAGTTATGTGGGAACATTTTGGCTATCACACTCATTTTAGAATAGATTAGGGTCATAGGTTATGTTTTGTAGTGTATAACAATCATTCATCTTGAAGAAGGGTCTGCTTTTTGAGGAGCACAGGAGTACCAAAAATTTAAAAAGCTGACTCTCAAAATAAATCAAGCTGGATCATTTTGCATAAATGACGTTGAATAACACCAAGCTTCAACTTGCACAAACTTTCAAAGCTTTCATGTTTTTGCTGCGGGTGTGTGTTTCATGTTCTTCAAAAAATCGAGATCTCCAAAGAAATATGTCATCAAAACTTCGAAGAGCAGATCAAAAAGCTAGAAGAATTACCTTATTGTCCAAGATCTGCTCCATTTGTATTACACCTACTCCCTTCTGGAACTTTGAAATGAAATTTTTGAAAAAAACTTCACGCAGGTGGAAATGACGGATGAAATTTTGGCAGTTTCCAAAAGCACAGAAAAGACTATGGGTCAATGGTGTAGTCATCAAAAAGGGAAGAAACAGCTGCATTAAATGCATGTTCCAACTCATTCAGGTCTTTATTGTACGAAATTTTATAGTCGTCCCAACAAAACGGCGAAGCTTTTGAGACAACCGAACAATAATTCTTATTCAAACTGCAAAATCAGTCAAACGGCAGGCATTTCGAAACCCCATCAAAAAGTTAGAAATTTTTGGGTTGACACCTGAGATGTGTTATAGATCAGATTCAGTACAATCTTGGAAAGTCATTATGAACACCATCCAGTGCTTGATATAGTCCGACTTCAGCTGTTTTCATAAGGAAAACAAGATAAGAGAAATAAAATTTATTGTATATAAACCACTTTCCAACTTAATAGTGGGACTTTTTTGCAATCATGCCCAAATAACGCCCCTTTTTTGCCCGTGATTGGCCATCCAGGAGTTCTCGTTAATCTTGCTGAACTCAATAAATCGTAAACATCTCGTCCAACCAGATTATGGAAATTGATGCAATCATCGTTATGGGAGTGAGCGGATGCGGTAAAACTACAGTAGGTACACAGATAGCAAATCATCTCGGGTGGATCTACAAGGATGGCGACGACTTTCATTCCGAGGCGAATATAGTGAAAATGAGTGCTGGTAGGGTTATCGCTTTCCTGAAGAATATATGTTGATGCTTTCTCTGTTTCAGGGATCCCTTTGAATGATGAGGATCGTCGCCCATGGTTAGCAGCTATAAATGAGTACTGCCGATCACACCCAAAAGTAGTTGTAGGATGTTCTGCGTTGAAACGAAAGTATCGAGATTTGTTGCGAGACATGCGAGACAATGTTCGCTGCAAGTTCGTCTTTCTGAACGTTAGTAGGTAAATCGTTTTGATGCTGAGAGTCTGAAGTTTTGTACGAGTTGAAGTCCTAATTTTTAGGAAAGAATTAGAGCGTCGCTTACGGCTGAGGAAAGATCACTATATGCCAATACATCTCTTGGATAGTCAATTAGCGACATTGGAACCGCCTTCTGGAGACGAAAACGCTCTAACAGTTGATATCATTGACGAAGCTAGTGTTGAAGCGATCGAAACACTGTTTAAGAGACTTATCCTGACTATGCTTCCAGTCCAAGCGTCTTGCGCAGAAAATTCATGATAGTAAAGACTGTCATAGAATTATTGGCATTCAAGTGTTCTACACCATCCTAGAAGACACCTTGTACTAGACCATGACTTGATCTTCATAAAAAAAGGGCCTTGTAAACCATTACATCCGCTCTCTTTCATCAAATTTTTTATTCGAAACATCAGTGAGATCTTATATTCTGGATATCATTATTTGTATTATTGAGGCAAAAATAAATGAGTGCTATGTGGAAACGTAGCTCTACCTGAGATCTTTTCATTCGAACCTGCTACCAATGCACTTCTGATACGAGTTGAGAGAAGGAAGAAAAAGCGACGGAAAAAACTTAGTATTTTTTAGTCCTCGAAAAAATGCTGAAAGTTTGATCAAGAACATTACTGATTCTTAGTTTGAGCTATTTTGAGGTCTTGAGCTATTTTTTTTCAATTAAGGAAAATTCGTGTTGATCGGATGTGTCTATGAATGATAATGACTTTTTATCTCGTTCAAGTGAAGTCAACACATTTCGCAACAATGAATTTGCGATGAGTAGTGAGTTTTTGCAGTTTTGAATAAAGATTAAAGTTTTGCAAAGCAAATACAAATTTTTTTCAGAAATTAGTGCGAGGTCTGATTTCCAGCTTGATAAAGACTTCTTTGGCTCGGTTAGGTTTTGGCCTAATCAACAGATGGCGGCCTAATCAACAGATGGCAAAGATTCCAAACACGACGTTTTCGTTGTTGAGTAGCCAACGATGTCAGATGCAAGGTTTATCGAAAGTGGTGCTTGGAAAAACTGATGTTTGCTGTGAAAACGGTTAACAGGACTGTGAAAACGGTTAACAGGCAAGGTCTTAGATTAGCTAAAGCGTATGTAATTGGCATTATAGCAGCAGGAAAGTTCAGGTTTTTTCGATAATTAATGACTTCCCTCAAGGTGACTTTGTAACTCGAGTGGAATGTGGCTTCTCTAATTAGCGATTAGAGGTGAATGAAGAAAAACTGGCTAGAACTAAGACGGGAATGATGAGGATTTTCACAGCCTAATGAGATTCGAGGAAAACAAGTTTCTAAATTATTAAGTCAAACATCTAATGACATCTTCGCAATTTCTTTTAAAAAACGAGTGATTCTTTGTACATAAAAAGAGTAAAGAAAGAACGTATTTTGATTCTGTAGCTATTCAAAGAAGTGATAAAAGTGACTGGTAAAATGGCCTAGTCTAAAAACAGATTGAAGCTTTTAACTGCCATGGCTATCTAGCACATCAAGTAAAATGTCGAATGATGGTAGAGTTGATTTTCATGAGCTTAACTTTCCACAGCTAGTTATCTAGTAATTCATATTATTCTCGATTATTAAGGTATCGAGCCGCTAAACTACTTTACACTTTTCCAAATCGACAGAGTTCCTGGATGCTAAAGCATGATAATTTGATTTCAATATGTGACAACAACACCCCAACGTAAGACATGAATTCGAAGTACTGGACGTCGAGATCGAGACGTTGCTGCCTTGGTAGCCGTGGTATATGTTATGGTATACACATCAGTAAAATGAGAATGATAACCTTAAATCACATGGATTGCTCTACAACTAAAAGGCTCAAAAATCGGATATTAAAGGGAGTAAATGGCTGCTTTAATCACTCGCGAGTTTTTTTTTGCCTTCCAAAGGTAAACAAGTGCAAGCCAGGTCGACAGGCGTCTTCGTGAGGACTAAGTATTTCGCACCTCAGGCAAAACTCGCCATCATCAAGGGCGTATAAAAGCTTTTCACCATCGAGAGATTACGCAGTATGCTCTTCTGTTTGCAAGAATTTTCTTTCTAAGTGACGTCCTTTTTACCTTTAGATGGATTTTTTATCCACCGGAATTCGTACTCCCCGTCAAATTTCATTTCAACTGATAGAAACACAAAGAAATCGCTGCTATGAAAAAATGCAAGAATTTGGAGTTAGTCACACACATGCCCGGCTTTGCATCCTTAATGAATTTTATTTCAGAATGCGCATACTGCTCTTCCTTGCGCTCATTGATCACACTGAAGCCTTCCTCCTGAATCTCCTCGGGCTCGGCGGAGGACTGGGGGGATTGGGCGGAGGATTGGGCGGAGGACTGGGCGGACTCACGGGTATGGCACCTGCTGCTGGATCATATGCTCTTGCACCACCCGCACCCGTTCCACCACCACCACCACCACCACCACCACCACCACCACCACCGCCGCCGCCGCCGCCGCCACCGCCACCGCCACCACCTGTCATGCCTCCCATACCGGCACCGGATGCTTACGCAGTTGCACCAAGTGGAGGAGGAGGACCTGTAGGAGGAGGTGGGTACATACCGCCAGTCGGTCCTGCTCCGGTTGGCGCTGGTGGTGGCTTTGCAAGAACCTTTGTTCCAAGTGGAATCGCCCCTGTACCAGCACGCGGATCATATGTGCCATTCCCAGGACCAGCACCGAGCGTGGTACCTAGTGGAGTGAATCCAGGTGGAATGGTACCTGGCGGGATCCCTGCAGCATCAATTGGAGCTTATTCAAACGCAATCGTTCCAAGCGTCCCTGGTGGAAGTGAATCAGGTGCATACTCTGCCAATCCAGGCATCGTTCCAGGAGGACCACGTGGAGTAGTTCAAGCTTATGGTGGAGGTCCAAGTAGCACTTACACAAGCCCGGGAGTCATTACAGCGGGACCGGGAGTCGTTCCACTCAGGCCAGGAGGAGTTTATACAGAAGGAGCTGGAGTTACGGGCCCTGGTGGAGCGGCATCAGGAAGATATGTAGCACCGGCTGTTGGTACAGGAGGTCCAGGCAGCGTACATCCATCTGGGCCTGGTGTGATAATCCCAACAGGCTATGCAAGTGGACCGGGAGCCCCTGGTGACTCAGGAGTGCTAACTCCAGGAGGACAATATGAAGTGGGACGTACTTACGCAGCGCCAGGAGCCACTTCAGGCAAACAAAAGGAGGTAGTCCCAGCCGGACCAGGAGCAGTCTTGGTGGAAGGACCTAGTGGGAAAGGAGAAACGTTAGAGGCCGGACTAGGGGAAGGAGCGCCAGTAGAAGAAACAGCGATCACAAGAGGAACAGTTGCACTGAAGGGAAACACGCCTGTGTCGCAAGAAGAGTTGGGAGCAGGTTCTGCGAAAATATTACCGGGCAATTTAGGAGGACTAGCTATAAGCGGAACCGCTAAAGAAGAAACTATTTCTGCGCCAGCAGCAGATCCGGCTCTAAGCGAAGCAGCAGAAAAAATTAGAGTGGTTGGTAGACGAGAAGCTTCGGCAGGCGGAACATATATCAAAGGAGCTCCCACAGTTCAAGGTCCAGCCGGTAAAGCTCCAGCCACCATTGCTTTGGTCACACCGAATGGAGAATTTGTCACCGGAATGGCTGGAGCTCATGACAGCGCATCGAAAAACGTCAAAGCATCCACAAAGAACGAGAGATGACTATCATGATTGATAGTGACCAAGACCATGATTGTTTGTACATTATGATAAAGTTTTTATTATTTTTCTCATCGTCAGCAACTGAAGTTGCGATCGCCCAACACGTGAATGTTAGAAGTAGTGAAATCTTCAAGTTCATCTACGTAATCTAACAATAAGCAGGGAACTATCAACAAGTTTTCAAGAATCTTCTAGGGCCGATGTACTGAGGTACAGCTTCAGAATTTCAAAATGTCATGACGCAGTTATTGCCAAATAGCAACTTCTTGAAGCTCTAAGTATTGATTTTTAGCGAGTACAGCAGAAGCAATACAAATATGGATATGGAGAACTACAAGGGGAATTAATTAGCAGTATTTTTTATTGTCAGTATTTTTTTAAGGATTCTCCTCAGGATTCCAGAAGCCGTAAAATCAGGGAGTTGATATCACTTTAGATGTCCAGCTAACCCATCCATCGTGATTGAAAATTTTGAAAGGTATATGGCAAGAGTGACAGCTAGAAATCAGCACCTCACCTGCAAAATGGGTGTGCCGCGAGCCATCAGTCAGCCAGTTTCCGCTTAGATGAAGGTACCTTTGATTCAACAAGATTGGCGGCTGGGCGCTTCGAGGCGTGGTTAAAGCTAGAGAATGGTCAGAAAGCACGCATGCAAGGGAGACGCAGATTGCTTCGCGGGCGCGAGCGATCGCCTGTCAGCCGCCAGTCTCGTTGAATCAAAGGGTAGTACATGGTGTGTCATCCACCTAAGCATAATTCACGACAAGAATAAGAAAACATTGGCTTTTTCCCGACTTATATAATTTCTTTGTATAAGATATCCAGAAAATCTACCTATTTTGGTATCAAGATAGTAGTCAGCTGCTCATTGCTGCCGAAATGGCACCCAAACGTAGAACGAAAAACATCCGCTAAACAGAACTATACTATTGAAAATAAAATGTTACACAAAACCACTCAGTTGATGTGATTCCACACAGTTATTTGCAAAATATATATTGCTCTTAATAAAAATTCACGAAAATAGTGCCGCACTCTTCTCACTTTTGTTCCAGTTGAAAATGCCTACCTTTTATTGCAAAAACTGACAAGATTCAACAAATCAGCACACAAACCCCATAAAACCTGGAACAACAACAATGTCTGCGACAAGAACGTCATGGTCACTTACTATGAAAGGACTATAAATCTGAAAAATGGCAGCCTAGCAACTTCAACTCGAAAATAGAGAGAAACATTGGCGCAGAAATGACAGCATGGAAAGAAAAAGTCTCTAGTAGAAAAATGTAGTTGTCAGATAATCTCAAAGTGCTGCAAGTTATGAACATACTGACTGGTATTCTGGGAAATGAAAAGCACTTTGAATTGAGCTATCCGATCCTTTATGACTTGTTGACTACGAGACAGCTGAATAGTGAGCCGTAAATATCTTGTCCAGCATGAAGAAGCTCTTCTCTCAATAAATAAGAGTGAAAACCTGCTCTATGAAAGTCTCATGAATGTACGATAACTATGATAGCAACAATGATTTCTGAGTTCACGATATAGAGAAGGGTTACGAGACCAAAAGCATTTCCACCGCATATTCATGACTACTGATAGCTACTAACTCTTCTATGGATGCTTGTCAAAAGTGAAGAGGATAGATGGTAGTATAAATTGAATTGCAAACTGTACCGTAGAGGTAAAGAAGAAAATGGTCATGTGCAGAGGAATTACTTGGCTTTCACATTATCGAAACCCTTTCCTAAAGGTTCGGCACCAATTGGTGGAAGGTTCAGTTTCGGTCGTGGACGACCATAAAGCGATAATGTTTGACGGAATTGTTCCATGCATTCAATCTCTTCCTGAAACGATATGAATATGAAATATGAAAGCAGGCACTCAGTGGCGAAAAAAAAACTATCAGGGGAAGGGGGGAAGGGGAGGAAGCGGCAGAATTTGAAAAAAAAATGGAAAATGAGTCACGCCCTCAGCGAATTTCATTAGAACAGCTTTAAAAAATTTTGTGAGTTTGAAACCTTAAGAAATAAAATCTTTCCCTTCTCTCAGAAAAAACAGCTAGACTGGAATTTTCAAAAGCTAAAAATTAGGGGGAGAGGGAGGGGGGGGGGGGGGGGTAAGGTAAAGGCACTCTTGATAAACACTCGTTTTTTCAAACAAAGGAGACCACTCACCAACTGAGTCCCTTCCGAACTGATTTCTCTTTTCGATCTTATCTTTTCTATCATCCCATCCTTGGATTCATCTTTACCATGTACATAAACAGCAATCTAGAAACCTCATTATGGTGACGTGACATAGCGAACCGAAACATACCATTCTCCTTTCCGGCGCAGATTTGCCAAATTTCCTATCGAAATATTGCAGCAGCTCTTCCTTAGTCACATCACGCAGCACCGCGACTTCGGATTCATCTAAACATATTGAGTAAGAACAACATTGGTTGTGAAAGATACTTCAAACAATCAATGTACTCACATCTATCAAAGTCATACATTTTGCACTCGATTTCGCTCCAAAATCTTCTCGATCTTCCTCCTAATGTCTTCGGTTTTTCAAGCAATCGTGTTATAAGGCCAGCAACTTGTTGCTGGAATTCCTCGTCAGGCATTTCCTCGATAGTAGCCTTAATGACAGGACTAGAATTACTTCACGGAACGGGTAAAAGAAGCAAAATCACTCGAATCTTCTCGATAAATGCTTCTATGCGATCCAAAACGAAGTCCGGATTTTTGGGACCTTGCACTATAACTTGCAAAGCAAGTGTACCGGAACTAAGTCTTGGCCCAGTCCAGACAATATATCCTGAAAGATAAAACAAAGCTAGAGTCTGATGAACAAAGTGGCCAAGTTCATGGGTAAAACGCACCTAGCTGTTCCACAGTTCGTAATTGGTTGAATGCCGGTTCTTTGAGAAGCTGGGCAAGTAGTTCCACCAACGAGTTCTCTTTAGTTGACTATAAATTGGCACGGTAAGTCTGACGAAATGATCACACTAGATTTCATACCTGAATGCCAGCTTGATATATCACTTCCGCACACGACACTTCATGAGTGTCCTGGAAATGACGGTAGAGATATGCATTACCGTACTCCAACGCATGTTCACGTAACAACATATGTTCGTTTCTGAACAATGGCCGACACTTGGACATATCCCGTAATGTTTTTGTCACCACTTCACCAAGGCTGAGCGCTTCCTGAAAAGTTATGAGCTTGCTTGAGTAAGAACGGATACGCGCAATCACTACCTTCTCAGTGGCATTCCCATGTACAAAAAGTTCAACATGGAATGCATGGAACATTTCCTTCCCAAACTTCTCTACGTCTTGCAATGTCATATCTAGAAGGAACTGAGATGAAAATTTCACACTTAGCTGCACATTCTTATAAAGAATAGAAGATATTGGCGTGAGGAGAGGGAGGGGGAGAGGGAGGGGGGGGGGCGACTCCTAAACCCCTTTACTTTCACTTCTGAGCAAAATCAGTTTGGGGTTTTCAATGGCCAAAGAAGAGGCTGATGATCCAAGGAACATTCGAAAAAAATCATTGCTACTAGACGTATAAATAAAAACTGTTGCTATTCTTACTGACCATCAACTGCCTTTACTAATATCACTATAAAATTTCAAAAACTACAAGGTTGGCGCAAAAGTTCTGTCGCATCATTTAATCATATATAACTTCTTGCTCTCTCAGCGGATTTGCAGGATTTGATTTTGCTAGACAGAGGAGTTCATTTTCTTTGTGATAGTACTTTGCTGTTCTTATAAGGAGTAGCTTTTGAGATGGAAGCAGGAGAATGAAACTTCAACTTCGGTCATTTTGAGTTAGGCTGCTAAAAATCCCTGAAACTTGCGATAAAATTTTGAGCAAGCAGTAAGTAGGTCTTCTGACCCATCCTTTCCACCTGTGCAGTTTGTCAGAAGAGCATCTTATTGAAGAATCATGATTTCTGGGTAAGCGACAGCACAGCAAAAATTTTTTTTGGTTATTTTCGAAAAAGAGTGATGATTTTGGAAAGAAAATGCCAAGATTATATCTTTGTTTTATTGCTTACCCAGAAATCATAACTCTTCACAGAGGTGCTTTTTTAACACAAACTCTGACAGACGGAAAAGATGGACTAAACTTATACACTCTTGCTCGGAATTTTAGCGCAAGCTTCAGATTTTTATCAGCCCGACTCAAAATGAACAAAGTTGAAGTAATTTTAGTGCCTGCTTCCATCCTAAAAGCTACCCTTATTAGAGCAACAAAAGGCACTATCACAAAGAAAACGTTTCCTCTATCCAACAAAACAAAGCTTATTGTCCAACTTCGGTTGTTTATTAATCTTGGCATCCGTAGGTGATAATCGCTCGAGCTTGCTGAGCGTCGACCAAGATATTAATCACACTTTATTCACGAATAAAGTGTGGTTAAAGGCACCGTCCACCCAAAATGGAGGTTGGCGAGATTATGATGGCATACTAGTGGGCTTCCACACTAGGCAAAACTGCTTCTAGAGCGAGATATCCGCTCCGTTGAGAGAGCAAGAAGTTATGGCTTTTCAATAATGAAGCAACAGAACTTTTACACCAACCTAATATCTGTTTAGTAAATGTAATTTCTAGTCACACATTGAGTCCACGATAGAACCTCTCTCACCCGTGATACCCCTCCCCCCTGCGACGTTCAGATCTTGGCAGGTGCGCTCGACCCATACCTGTGTCATTCAGCCCAAACTTAATATGGTAACATGCCCCGCTTTCACTACGAATGAACTCTTGCTTCCTCGATTATACGTATGGTGGGAAAAAGTTGTCACCTTTACAGACCGCAAGCAACTGTTCCTTGCTCCAAAACTTGTCACTGAGCAATAACTGAACATAGTGCTGAGAAAGTGTATACGGCTGTGAGTGAGCAAAATTCTCAAGCGCTCGTTTGATAGCATCGAAGAGAACTTCATAGCGCAGTGGATCTGAATGAAAAGCTTTTGATGAAGATATTCAACAGACCATCGAACCTGATCTAACCTGGTTTGAAAGTCGTCAATCGCTTCACTAAGTGCTCTACAAACAAGGGTTGCTTTTCATCATATCCACTGACCTGTCAAGAGTCACTAGTAATGTTTGAAAAGTTAGCTAAAACTAATCTTACCTTCAGATTCAATCCATAATTCGTAAGTTCGAGCTGGAACTTAAGACCAGCCAATTCAGCGTTATATGTTTCTTCAGCTAAAGCATCCTAAATTGTACATTTTGCACATTTCAACAAAATTACTTTGAACTGCTAGGAAGAAAAAAGGAAAAAGAGCACGATTTAGTGACCAAATAAACCAGAATTTACATTCAGACACCAAAGATACATCGAGGACAGCATAGTCGTGAGCGGATCTGCTCCTATTATCGGCGCAGTGACAGCTACCTGAATATTATCTATTAAGGCAAAAAGAAGGCAACTGTGAAACTGACCCATGTAATCATTTTCGGAAGCTTGTACTCATCATCTTGCTTAAACCATACACGAGACCACACGTCGTCATGGATCATGCGTGGGTGTTCACTGAAAACAGAACCATAGGAAGTCAGTGGCAAAAACTTTTTTATCACTTACCTCTTCAGATCCTCCCTAGGTTTTTGGTCAAATATCGTGGGTATATACTCATTCTTATTGGGCATATGCAGAGCTGGGTGTGGCGTATTTAGCGCTTCACTAAAACGCTCCATTGTGCTCTGTAAGAGGTAGAAGAAATCGCAATCTAAACGAGAAAGGTCCGATTTGAAATAACCTCGTCGATGTCTATCACTCGCATTTCTGTGCCATACACTGGCTCTTCGATGTTTCCCTCTTGCCCTGCAAACTGTTTTGCCACAACGGCATAGAACATTTTTTCTGGCGTTAGCATGTCCATTAGTTCCATTATTCGATCTGTAAAGTCCGTATTTTCCCATTACAAGATGTAGAGATCAAAGAATTAACCAGGCTTGAATTCCGACATCAGATAGCGCCATCCTAAGACGTCTTCCATCGCAACGAGCCTCATTTCGGAAGCCACTTTTGTCGCCAACGACAATGGATTCTCCTTGTCCTTGAATGAATACGTGATAAACCCAAATAATCTCATATCGTATCATTTTTCTTCTTTTTTTCTCTTAGAAATTATCACGCCAGATGAAATCAGGCACCTTGAAACGGAATTTGATCTCTCCCAGCTCTTTCAACTCTTCTTGCACCCATGCTTCAGCTCCTGTTCGCTTTAACAAACCAATGTAAGAAAAAACTAATGCAACAATATCTTCAGCATGATTGAGGCCATCTGAAATGCAGTTCTTTGAAACCAGTATTCCTGTCATCGCACTCACCAATGCTCAAATCAACATGGATGTCGAATGCAGAGAAACCTTTCGCTAACGTACTCTCACCAGCCGAGAGGGAGCTAACCCAACCCAGCCGTTTGAGCTCCGACAATAAAGATCCCTTCCCTTCATGACCGAGCAAATGTGCTGAAATGACAATTAATCAATCCTATAAAGCTAGAAAGCCCCAGTCAGAAGTCGCATGGCTTCTCTCAATGACATGTCCACCATTCGAGAGGGTTACAGAATGTTGAATGAACCTTTCCTTCATGTTTACTACACCGCTCCTTGTACAAAGTCAGCGAAAAATCTAACTTTGCTGAACTCACTGAATCAAGCACTTACGACACCTTCAATTACGCCTAGAAATGGTAAAAGCGCCTAGAAGCCTTGCGCTAGATAAAAAAGACAATTCGAAATCAACTTCAAGAATGAGTAACATCTCCTGAAAACCACCGACGTGATGGTTGCCTATTGAGCGTTTTGCATTTATTTTATCCGAGCTCTCCTGCGTAAACACGGCACCAAAACTAGTCAACAAATATCTTACATATATAATGTGCTGGATTAGATTTATATTCTTCCGTAAGATCGGGTATTGGAAAGCGAATATTGAGACTACGAGAATCCTTGATGGGAACGATCTAAAATTGATGCAAGTCTAACGGAAAGACCAAAGCAACGAACAACGGTGTGACTAAAAGAATCTACCTCAACCCTCTTTCTCAGTTGCTCCTCTCCGTAAGGACTGTCGTGCCACTCTTTACTTTCCACGTTTTTGTTCAAAATAGCGTCAAAACCAAGTGTCCCCAAGCTTGCTTCCATCTCATCAAGCGGTTCGGCACCCACGATACAAAGTGACATCCTAAGAAATCGAGCCCTCCGGCGAAAAAAGTACACATAGACAACGATACCTACAAGTTTGAGCTATACCACTCTTTGTGGAATTTAAGTAATGCTTCGCGAGGTTCGATACCCTTCTCACGAGCGTCATCCATCAGAGTTTTCTGGAAAGAACAAGTTATTTTTAGAAATAAATTGTTTGAAAAAGCTGACCTTGTTACCGGTTCCAAATTTTCCGTAATCGTGACCAGGTTTGGAAAGGTACCTGAAGCAGTATATAGTAGGTAAGACGGTCCCATGGTGCCGACGCATTCCAAATTCTTAGCGAATGGTCTTGAAACACTAACCTTTCCACTTGGAGTTTCCTCCAACCATCACTCTTGATATTGTTTGAGTGCTCCGAGTCAACAGCACATACCGAAAACAGGTAAGTATTTAGTGCTCTTCATGTAATGAGCAATATATAGACACTTACTTCCCGTTCTGTCGCACTTTCAGTGAACTGTGGGGCTAAAAAGAATTGCACAAAACGATCAAGGGCACCCTAAACATAGAATTAATGTGCACATTGGCAGTAATGCACACAATTGACCTGGAGCTGATCTGGTTTAATATCAAAATGGTAGTTGGTGTGATCGGCTGCGGTGTAAGCGTTGGTGTTCCCAGCGTTGGCAGAAATAAACTTAATATTCATAGTTGATGCACGCTCGAGTAGTTTTAGCAGCATACCTTGCTGTACTCATTCTCCGATGGATATTTATCAGTGCCTAGGAATAGCATGTGCTCGCAGAAATGCGCAAGACCTGGTAGTTCCCACGGATCCATTAGATGCCCTACGATGAACCCGTAATGTGACAAACCAAACGATGATATGCCAGTTAGTTTTGAAGCAAGCCCCTACCAACATTGACGTCCATTGCTGCAGCTGATTTGTCTGTTGTGGGATCAGACACAAGGAAAACTTTCAAGCCATTCACTAGTTCTAGTCCACGATACTAAAATGATCAGTCAAAGCATGAGCACAATGAAATATTACAAAAGCATTATGATATATTTTTCCAATTTTCATACCTCTCTTTGATCCTCTGGACTTTTGTGGATATCATTATGTCGACGTAGCACAAAACTATTCGATGCTCCAGCAGACATAAGTCGAATGTGATGTAGAGACGGACAGGAAAGGGTTCTAAAAATGAAGATGAGGAAAATCCCACAAACGCGTAATTTACCGCCTGTTATCTGCGAGCTTCTAATAGATACGACCAATCGCTCGACCCCTGCCTTCCTCTCCTTTTTGTACGTTTATATCAAGGATTTGTGAGCTTTTTGAAAAGCTAGGAAGAGCGCAAGGCAGTGGCTTGAGGCGCGAGCAAGGGTGTACATCTGCAGTTTATAGTCCTCGATACAGTGTGCTTGCAGTGTTGAGTGAGTGACCAAGGCTTCACGGTAGCAAATACTGCGCATGACATGCCCGCCATTTGCGCATGCAAGATAGCAACATCACTGGCGCCCCTATCTGTTCACGCGCAAATTTGGTCGTCCATCTTGGCACCTAAGCACACTATATTGAAAGGAAAATCTACTAGGCTGTATTATACTATGGAATAAAAATTAAACAAAACTGTCAAATGCGAAAGCCAAATATTCCAGATTAGATTTTGAATAATAATCGAATGTCCAATGTATGAAAAAGTACAGCACACTATATTGAGCGGAAAATCTACTATGCTATACTATGCTATGGAATAAATCGGGCAAAAAAATTATAACAGATTTCGAATAATATTAATGTCTAATATATGAAAAAGTACCCAGTGGAAGAAGACCAAAATCGAAATGAATGTGAAGACCAAAGTCAGCAAAGTTCACCAGGACACATCTCCCTGGGTTGACCGAATAAAGAAACGATGATCAACACTTCGCTAGTTTCAGTCTCTATAGCCCTACCGTCCAGCTCAGCCCTGCCCTGCCCTTTCCGCACCTGTCATTCACCTGCCGAGGTCTAACTCGTTTCGCCTTTATATTCACTCATTCAAAACATGCGTCGTGTATTGTTGTGAACGATTGATTAATCTCAATGCCTGTGGAGTTCGATATCTTACAGAAAGACTAAGTTTTTTCTAAAGGAAGAGAAAGCATGAAGAAATACACATTCGCCTTTTCGGCTCTTTTTAAAACCCGCAAAATACAGACTCTGGTTCAAGCGCCTACTCAGCCAATCGCCTCAAATGGGTGGGAACACTTGGCCGCCACCACACCCATCAAAAGACACTCATATCGCTCGCGCCGCGCCCAGTCAGCGAAGCAGCAAGAAACGACTTTGAGAATTCCATGTTGCACTTTGTAGGTAGTACATTTGGTTCAAGTCATAAATTTCTGATAGGCGAAGATCTTCGAAGTCAGTACCCTCAAAATGCGAAGATAGGGGAGCTCAAGTAGCAGAGGACGGAAACACTTGCAGAAATCAAGTGGCTGGAAGTACTTTTGAATTACGGACAAAAAGAGGCTAACCGACTCAGTTGATGTTGTTGCAAAGCAAGGGCCAGTCAAACCGATGCCCATTACTTTTCTTAGCAGAACCGTTACGGAAACAGAGATTGACGAGGATAGGAGAATGTGGAGCTATAAGGCATTTCTGTATGGTTGAAACAGAATCAATGCCCTTTTTTTCGCGGTAAAACTCTCTAGCACTTTCAAGGATGATGACTCACAAAGGAATAATACTTGGTGACCGTGGCCAATAAATATTATCGATAGATGCGTTTTGAATGTTGGTTCAAAAACCGTTTTCCGGGTGGAGGACTATATGTCACCGGATTTGGAAGAGTCCCGCGCGGATTCCCTGCTGGAACGCTTGTCCGCGCATGTCCAAGGATGCGTATTTGTCGCAAATGACCCCGGGGACCGCCCTTTTTCGGCGACATATAGTCATCTACCCCCGTTTTCCTTATCTGCCAAACGATAAACTGGATGAAGTTATGATTAGCTTTTCAAGATTAACTTGCACTACTGTGGAGAGTCAAAATCACCAATGCAAAATTTTTTCGCCATTTCAACTGCTATATTTGAATTACCCTAATTTCACGCGTACAAGACGCACCTTTTTCGATTTCTCGATTGAGCCCCTCAGCCGCTTTGAATTATCTCGGAAAGCGATCCTTATGCCGCAAGATTCTCTTAAGCAATATACAGCAGGGCATAGGGCTTTGGTTGCAAGTTCTTTGGCGTATTTGGAATTTGGAATCGATTTTGGAAAAAAATCCCCCGCGCCTTGTAGGCGTGAAATTAAGGTAGTTAGTCCAAAATAGGATTTTGTCTGTCAGTAACATCAGACAGTAAACTAGCACGCTGTTGATCTGGACTATCCAAAATAGAGATTTTATTGAAAAAAAAACTAACTTGCTAACAAGATAATTGATTATATTGCGATATAAACCTACAGAGTAGATTTTCTGCTCAATATAGTGTGCTTGCACTGTACGTGAAATGCGGTAAAATTTGTCCGCAAAAAATTAGCTACGCCATTAATGCCGGTATTCTGCGCGCGCAAATGGAAGCATAGGTGCGATAGTGTGAGAATTTGCTCACCCCCCCCCCCCTTCACCCCTGAGCCGGAAACCAAGGTGACTCCCTTCACCAAAACCGACAAAAAAAAATCAACAGTGAGGTAAGGTTATGCCTGATAAAATGACCACGCTATCAACCTACTTGTAGGCTCTACAGTCAAGAAGCAAGTGAAGGGCAATCGTGGCATTCTTCCAGCTATGTCCTTAGATTTATAGGCAAAATTTGAAAAAATTCAATTAAAAATTCATAACGTTTGTAGATGAACAGCTAGTACAAGGAAATGCTCACCATTGAAACCGTTTCTTCCTCTGCTTTCAGAAAATATATAGATTGTCTGGGATCCGTTGGAAAAAGTCCATGGTGAAGGGTGTGCCTAGTGATTTCTGGAGATTTTCGAGTTTTCAACATAAAAAAATTCATAACTTCTGTAGATGAACAGCTAGTACACGGAGATGCTCACCATTAGAACCGTCTCATTCTCCGCTTTCAGAAAATATATAGTTTGTAAGGGATCCCTTGCAAAAAGTGCCTGGTGAAGGGGGGGGGGGTGAGAATTTTATAACGGGAGTTCTCAGGTAGACGTCTTTTTACAATGGTGAAAAGGCCTCTGCCTGAGAACTCCCGTTATAAAATTCTCACCCCCCTTCACCAGGCACTTTTTGCAAGGGATCCCTTACAAACTATATATTTTCTGAAAGCGGAGAATGAGACGGTTCTAATGGTGAGCATCTCCGTGTTCTAGCTGTTCATCTACGGAAGTTATGAATTTTTTTATGTTGAAAACTCGAAAATCTCTAGAAATCACTAGGCACCCCCTTCACCATGGACTTTTTCCAACGGATCCCAGACAATCTATATATTTTCTGAAAGCAGAGGAAGAAACGGTTACAATGGTGGCCACCTTCATGTACTAGCTGTTCATCTACAAAAGTTACATTTTTCTTTTGGAATTTCGTGACTGTCTAAGAATCCTCTTAGTTTTGTCGATGCACACTTGATTTCAATATGCATTTCCACTATGATGTTCTTAATTATTGAACACGTTGCAAATTTACTCCGTGTTCCATTTTCGCGGTTCAACTAGATATCCTTTATTTCACCCTCCTTGGTTTCTTTTCAGTTCTTGATTCTAGGATTCCTTTCTTTTGTGAATGTAAGAAGACACTTAATCATGAACTGTTACTAAAGGCAAATGAGGTTGTAAAAGGAACGATGCCGTTCCTGGCGGCGCGTTGTGTGTAATTGCACACCCACATTCACACACGCACTCACCCCCCCCCCCCACCCAACCCCCCCACCCCCTCTGACCCCCTTCACCCTGGAGGGGCTGCGACCACCGTGACCCCCTTCACCCTGGAGAGGTCATTCTCACCTTATCGCACCTATGAATGGAAGGCGTCACAAACGTAGCTGTTTCTTCACGCACAAATTTTAGGGCATTGCGCCTACAGTGCAAGCATACTAGATACATTAAGCGGAAATTCTACTCGACTGTATGTATATACTAGCTGGCTTACCCGGCTCCGCCGTATCCGGACCAAACTTGGCACACATACACTTCGGGCCCCGGCGGGTGTCACAGTCCACTTTTCGTTATCGATCGATGTCGATTTTACCGATTTTTATCAATTTTTTCGCAGAGTTCACCTACAGGGTTAGGAGTTGGCACAGGGGGGGGGGGAAGTGAGCATGGGGATTCCGAATACAATATTAGTTTTCAGAATTATCGGTTACTTTTATTGATTTTATCGATTTTTTGTAAATTTTGACATGCGAGGCTGGGATTTTGCACAGGGGGTAATCGAGCATGCTGATTACGAACACAATATTAGTTTTCAGGATCGTCCATTACTTTTATCGATTTTATCGATTTTTTTGTAAAGTTTGACCTGCGGGGCTGGGAGTTTGCACAGGGGGTAATCGAGCATGCAGATTACGAATACAATATTAGTTTTCAAGATCGTCCATTACTTTTATCGATTTTATCGATTTGTTGAAAATTTGAGCTAGGGGGCTGGAATTTGGCACAGGGGTGTAATCGAGCATGCTGATCACCCCCTTGGGGATGATCAGCATGCTTGATTACCCCCCTGTGCCAACTCCCAGCCCCCCAGCTCAAACTTTGCAAAAAATCGATAAAATCGATAAAAGTAATCGATAATCCCGAAAACCAACATTGTATTCGGAATCCCCATGCTCGATTACCCCCCTGTGCCAACTCCCAGCCCCGTAGCTCAAACTTTGCAAAAAAATCGATAAAATCGATAAAAGTAATCGATAATCCTGAAAACCAATGTTGTATTCGGAATCCCCATGCTCGATTACCCCCCTGTGCCAACTCCCAGCCCCGTAGGTGAACTCAGCAAAAAAATCGATAAAAATCGATAAAATCGATATCGATCGATGACGAAAAGTAGCCTATGACACCCGCCGGGGCCCGAAGTGTATGTGTGCCAAGTTTGGTCCGGATCGGTTCAGAAATGGAATTTTCTATTCGGAACATACGTACATACATCCTTCTATATATATAAAACCGAATGGTGTACTTGTCTGTACGTTGGTGGATAAGCATGTTGATGCTGTCTGTACGTCTTCGATGGTGTTTTTCTGGTTTGCGAC